ATATGTGTGTATATATTTATTATATATATGTACACACACACACATTCTCGTTTGGTAAATCCGAGGACAAGAAGAGAGTTCGTCTCGCATTCGTCGAGAGCAGCAGATAGAAGGAAGAAAAGAAGAAGAAGACTGTGTGCTATGGAAGAGAGCACAAGTCCGTGCGAGTAAAATTCCTTGACGCGCGAGGAGAGTGAGCAAAGAAGAATGAGAAAGAGAGATAGATATAGGATGGCGAAGAGAAAGAGAGAAAGAACTCGGTTTTGTTTGACGGTAGGAGTGAGGGGAGGGCCGAGGTGGGTTGAGGAGGTTTGTTGGAAAGGGACAAGTGGGGTAGGGGACGACATGGTTCACGGCTCGCTTCGCTAGCCAGTCGGCCAGCCACCGTGGCACTCGATTTCCCCTCTTTACCCCATCGTGGCAGTAGTAGTAGCAGCAGCAGCAACCAACCAACCCAACCAACCTTCCTCCATTTTCCTTCTCTCCTCTACGTATTCGCACGACGCACCACGGAAAAAGACGATGTCGCCCGATGTGTGTGTTCGTGCGTGTTCGTAAATGCCCTCCCTGTGTTGTTAGGAGGAGTGGGGGAGAGAGAGAAACTTCTCCTCGAGTGCCTTCGATCGTGTGTACCGCCGCTCCCTTGTATGCCTTCTTATTTTACTGAGGGAACGTGAGGGGTCGAGAGAGGGTTAGTAGAAAGGGGACAAGGGGTGGTAGGAACAGAAGGGATTGGGAGGGATTGGGATACCGAGGTGAAGTAAGGAGAGAGGAGAGTGGAGTGAAAGAAGGTACGCGACCGCTACGCAGAACGCTATCGCTCCTTCTACTAACCGTCCGTTTGTTCGTTTGTACACGTTCATTTGGTGTGGTCGAGAACCCTGCTGCTGCTGCAGCTGCGACGAATCGAACGGCTTTTTATTTTTTTTTTTCTTCAAGAATTTCGCGTGAAATTTTACCCGAGAGAGAAACGCCAGTATTAACAGAGACAGGCAGTCAGTCAAACAGGCGGACATACTGCAGTAGGCAACAGCACACTGAAGAATTTTTCACTTTGTCCAATTTGTTGGTAGAAATGTCTGAACAAAGTCCTCCCAAACTTTGTACTATCTCATCATCGTCATCTTTTTTTTTCATTTTTGTTTGTTACGAAAACACGATGGCCAGCAGAAGTTAGTTAAACGATTCTTTTCTTGGGATATTCAGTGGGAAAAGGATTTTTCTATTTGGATTTTAGTATCATCATCACTGGGACACAATCACACGATTTGAAGTTATCGATTTCTAGGTCCTAGATTTGTGATAGTAATTTACGATGTATTTTAGGGTTTTTATGATTTTATGAGAGAGCAAGAGAGAGAGAGAGAAAGATGCGAGATGATCATCGAAGACCTTAAATAAATTATATCTTCGTGATCATTTTGAATTCGATTAATTTCAAGTCTTCTCTCTCTCAGTTTATGTCCCTTTTCTTAAGAGAATATGGTATTATTGTTGTATCTCTCATTTTCTGACAGTAGAATTCTTTAGTTGTCAAGCCGTGAACGTAGAAGAGAAACTACTTGCGACGCAACGCGACGTAATTGCGCATCGGCCCATCTGCGAATCGGATCACACGCTTTAGCGAGGAACCACGCCCCATGGTTGTGTGTGATGTTCGATCATTAAAACAACGGACTTCCGAGGATATGACGACGGAGTTATTTTACTTACGAACGCGAGGGAGAAATTAAAATGGGAGAACAAAAAATATGGGGGGGGGGGGAAACAAACAACAACCCACGGCAGGCACGCTGATGAGTTGTCTGGTAACAGCAGCAGCAGTTAAGGTGTTCAAAGTTCCGTAGCAAAAAAACGTTAATGAAATAAAAAAAAGTAGGATTGTCGTATGCAAAAGTTTTAACTAAAGAAAAAAAAGGAACTGGGAATATAAAAAAAAACAAAATCCACCATTGTTTTTTTCAGGGTTTTCAGTTTTTGTGTAGAAAAAGTAGAAACCCTCTAAGATAGAGGAAAATGATATCTGTCCTTTTTAACAACGTTGAAATAATCCGAGTTGTGTGTTGGTTGCGTTTTATCTCGCGAATCTTCTTATCCCCCTCTCTTGTCGACCCTCTTCCAACGAGGCATATATGTTCCCTCCTCCTCTTCACCTCTTTCTCTCCTTTCTATCCGTGTCTCCTCATTTATTCCCTTTTCTTTTTATAAATTATATTTTTTTCCTTTAGTGGAGAAAAAAAACAAGTCGCGAAAAACCCTTGCGCAAAGTTGAGCTCAAACGAGACCCTTTTGATTTTTTAGGGTTATTTTTTCTTGATAGTTATCAATCAGAGACTATAGTTACTGGCTTTAAACATTTTCTCATCGGATACTTTTGTAATTAATTTAACGCCGGACAGATATTAAATAAGAAAATAAATCAAAGAGCAAATGATATCCCGATGATGGTTAAATTATTACTAGTCCTATCAAATGGGGGAAAATATTATATGTCGGATATAAAGTTTCCTTTTTCGATCGAGTAATAAAATAAAAAATATCGTTTCCTTTTTTTTTTTGTTAAATAAAAGATAGAACAGAAAACAGAAGGAATAGTTTATAAATACGTGCAACTCGCGCGAGATCAGCCGATCGACTCGCTGAGAAAAGTCGAGTCTTCGATATCTGCGTCTGCGCGTAGCAACTCTACAAATGTCCGACCAATAGCAGTGGCGTTTTCATCCTCTTATCGACGATTATTCCCCACTCCTTGCACATTGTCAGAGCAACCGTGAGAGAGGGGACAATAAGAGAGCTTCTCCTCTCAGTAAAACCCTCCCGTCCCTCTTCTCATCCTCTTTGCAACCCAAACCTCCCCTTATTTCTGCGTCGAGGGAACTACGCCGTCATTCTCTGGTGTTCGTCTTCTTCTTCTTTCTCCTCCTGCCTACTACACCTCCTCCTCTTCCTTTTTCTCCTCCACCTCGTCATCATCTCGATGGACGTTATACTACCCGTGCCTTCTCCTCCGTTGTATTATTCTTACCGAGCAGCAAGCAGCAGCAGCAACCAACCCAACCAACCAACCAACCAACCTTCTCTCTTTCTACTTAAAACTTCATTCTTTTTATTCTCATTTTTATACAAGATGATACAATATTCTCTCTTCGAAGAGCCCTCCTTTTTTTTATTAGAATAAAATTAAAAAGGGAATAGAAATAGTAATAAAAACTGTCTGGAAAAAAGTAACAGAGGTTCGCGGACGCGTCGCCCGTTCGCGCAGCACAGAGTCCGTCGGTGACTAAAAACGTAATGGCGGGTCCGTAACTTTTTACCAACGCCATTTGTTATACATCTTTTTCCTTCTTTCTCTCTGTTTTCCTCTACACAACGTCGTAGATATTTTTATAGAAATTTTACTTTCTTTTTTTACGATATACATGTACACCTTCTTCTTTTTCTTGAATATATATCATCCCCCGTAGAGATTTTCGATATTATACTACGTTTCCATTTCTGTTACTATTTCTGTGCGCACATTTAAACCGAAGAAAATACATGAAATATATATATGTATTATAAGAATATGGTGTACACACATACATATCAGTTTATCTTCTTTCTCTACGAGTAAAGCGAACGAGTGAGCGAGGGAAAGGCTTGCTTGCCCGTCATGGCCGCTCTGCAAAAACATCCGCAAGGGCTTTTATCCGTACGGATCTGAATGCGTCGCCGGAGGAAGACTTCGATCGAGGTCTCGTCGTCTCTTCTCAGTTTGTCTTCTCCTTTCTCCTCTTCTCTTCTTACCAACCAACCAACCAACCTACCTGCTCTTCTTCTTCTTCATCTTCTTCTTTCAGCCGCGCGCAAAAGCAGCGCAAATGCTTTTACGCGCATGCGCATTTCTATTTTCTCCTCTTGTTCCCCTCCAAAGCCCCACTTCTTCGTCATCCCACTCCCTACTTTCTCTACCTCTTTACCACTACCCTCCCTCCTCCCTCGTGTTTCTCCTCTTTCTTCTCTTCTTCCCCTTATCCCCACTTCCTCCAGCTCGTCTCTCTAACCTCTATCCGTCTTTCTCTTCCTTCGACTTAATTTCCTCCGCTCTCTCGTGTCGGGTATCGCGAGAGGTTTCTACGGGCAGAGGATTACAGGGTCTCCTCCCTTCTTCGAAATCCCAAACGATCTCTCTCAACGAGGATCCCTTCTGCTGCGCTGTTGCCGTTACTCAACCTACCCATCAGAGTATTACCGTTCAACGTTGCCAACTTTCCTTCCTACACTGTCGTCTTCTTCTTCTTCTTCTTTTCTTCTTTTCTGTACACCTTCTTCTATTACTTTTCAAACGTTCCACGGACTTTGCCTATTTTACCTTCCTTCGTTTCTTATTTTATTTCCTTTACCTATTCTATTTTATTGGATGTTAAAATATTGATGCAACGATACATTTGTAAAACAACAACGTGTAGCAGCCCCCTTATCCCCTGCTTTTTCTTTTTCTCCCATTCTCCCCATGTTTCTTTTTCTCTCTTTTCCTTTGAACTTTCACATTGGGATATAATGTGCCATTTGAACTTAGCGCACAATGACTCTCCCCTGAATATGTCGCGTATATCTTCTCTCGAACGTTTGCATTTCACGTTCATTGCCCCACCCTCACTAATCACTGATCACTATCACAAGAATACAATAAGAAAAGATTCTTCTTTTCTCAGAAGTGAATCACTAATTTTGTTTTTTCTCTTCAAAGATGATACATGTTGCCCTCGGCTATATAAAATTGTATAAATTTGTTTAGGAAAGATTAGATAAGTAAAGAAAATCTAACATTTATTGGTGTTTATTCTCATAAGGGTCTTTTTTAAATATTTGACAATGGTTATCGACCGATCACGTAAACTTGACACATTATATTTGTATTTGGTCAAAATTCAAAGCAAGCAATCTTCGTATGTTTGCTTTTTAAAAAGGAATTCTCAAAAGATTGTTTGATTAAATGAATTTCATTTGTTTTATTGCAGGTATGGACGCGTGCAGAGCGTCAAGTTGCTGCCGCGGGGCGAAGTGTGCCCTGTGGACGGAGGTTCCGGTGGTTCCCTCGGGGAGGGCAACGAGGGTGGTTCCGGTTCCAGTTCCGGCAGCGGCGGGGGCGGCGGCAACGGGGGTGGTGGTTCCTCGATTAACACCGGGGGCGCCTCCGCGACGGTGGCGTTCATGGATATCAAGTCCGCAGCGAAGGCTCACGCGACTGAGCACACTCTGGACGAACGAGCCCTTACGACACAATACTACGAGCCCCAGCATCTTCAACATAGATTTCCCTCGCACGGGTGAGATATAATGCCGGGATGATTTAATAAACCTTTAGAAAGCCGGAAATATGCACACTGCGTGGTTTTTTTAACCCTTCCGTTACAGGTGCCGATTATAACCGGCATGAAGATTATTTTACTTTACCTTTAGAGTATCTTTCAATTTTATTTTACTCGTATTAGATTAATCGTATTAAAAATATACTTTGAAAGCATGTAATATATTCTGAACATCAAAATATTGCCTAAGATGGCATTAAAAACTGTAAATGCAAAAATAGAAGACTACCGATGTGCAATGTTACTTTTCCCGTAACGAAAGGGTTAAACAAACTTTTATTTAACTACATTTTATTCCTTGATAAACAACTGCCAATTATCTCTAGGTTTGGTACGAGGATATATCTTCCAAGTTAGGTTATGATCAGGTTCTTATAATTAATTCAAGTTGCTAATGGAGCAACTAGAAATAAACATGAACGTGAGATCAGAATATCTAATATCTAGATATAATAAGATTCACAATGATTCATAATGATCCGTATACTTAACATTATAACTAAATGTTGATAAAAATCATCATGGATCGTGGTGAAACTTTAAAACAAGCATTTTAAAATGTTTCCTATCGGGTCTGTACGACGTGTGTGATGTTCTTCTTGTCCTCTCATATGACGGGGAAACCGATAATGTAATTTTTACTCGTTTTCGAATGACTTGCGTATATACGCGTCCATCTTTAATTTTCTTTTTTTTTTTTGCTAGCTGCGTGTACGTGCGTGTGTGCGTACGTATATAAAAGAGCACTTTACGATGAGTCACGTCAAGTCAAAGGAATCGATTAAATCGCACATTTATATACCGGAAGCAAGTTAAATGACATTGAAACGTCATTACACGTGTTAGGAGGTCTCTCTTAGTTTTCTTTTTATTTTTTGTTGTTGTCGTGTATGGTCTTTGCCTATCCTCTCTCATTTAGTACATGTGTGGGTTCTAAACACACACTTCCTTATACTCATAATCCTTTTTCTAATTAGATCAAATAATCATGTTGTCGACTACTGCAATATTTCAAATATGATATACAAAATGCCACGATAATAATGGATGATTATTTGTGTAAAAAAATACAAAAGACAATCAGTGGGATAAAAAAGAAAATTTAGTGAAACTCGTCTTTTGTTAATTCGACGAATATCGGCGTAGTTACAATCACCACCCCTAAATGGATGCAGTGTTGGATTACAGTGAATTTGGATTAAATATAAGTGCCAAGTGTCGTCAACTTCATCGTCATCTTCATTTTCATCGTCACCGTTTTGAAGATGAAGATGCACCGTGTGCAGTGCACGGTACATCATTGAAAAGCAAGTATGAATTGTTGTTGAAAAGGTAAGTCATGGAAACCTACTGAACGACCTTTTAAATATTTACCCTTTTCCCTTTACCAGAAGACCATACCGGCAATAATTATACCTGTGTGTAGAATTAAATGAAAAACGTGAATAGGAGAGAGATATCTTTAGGTATATAGAAAATGTCGACATCGTTTTTTGATGAACTTCTCTCTCTACGATATCATCGATAAGTTCTTATCAACTGCAAAGATATCAATCATTTAATAGTTTGTTTTTTATATTTGAAATACGTCGTGAACGCAAAAATGGGCTCATCGATTTTCTCACTAATTAAAGTATTTCCTAGAAATGTTATATGGTTGTTTTCGTCATAGTATTTATCGCGATCATTCGTTGACGAGCAATAAATTTATATCTTTTTTTTTTTTTTTTAGCATGAACTTTTCCCCCTTGCCAAGAAATTATCGGTTTGCGTTGTCTTCGGGTCGATAAAGGGAAATTTCAACACCTCTATCGTTGTTGTGTGTGTTTGTCTATCATTTTCTCTTGTTTTCTTTATTCCCTTAGCGGCCTTTTTTCGTAATTGCTTGCTTGCCTCGGCCACCAACCAACCAACCAACCAACATCACATCACGATGACGTGTAATAATAAAAGCTTGTTTTATTTAATTACTTGGGTTCTGTCGTTAAGTAAAAAAACATGCAAAACATGGGCGTAATTTCTGGTTTCTCATTAACCGTCCCCTCGATGACTCGTAACATTTTACTATTTTCTTCGTTTATTGCTAGAAAAAGTAATAATTAAATGCAGAATAAAAATATAGACCAATAACAACCAACAACCAGTTGTTACAGGAAGTAGTAAAAGAGGTTCAGAATAGATAAGCAGATGATTTTATTTTGCTAATCAAAAAAAGACTTTTAATACTTGGGTTATATTAAACGTTACTTTGGAATGTTTGTCTATTTTCCCGCCGCCCTCACTTCTTTCACCCCCACTCTTTTTCTTTTTCTTTCTCTTGTCTCTTGGTGAAATGTACCAGCAATGGCGTTGCATTTCCATGAAAAATTAGACGACCGTGACGATTTCGAAGACACGATGGATGGACGGAACGAAACGGAACGAGAACCGCGGGGATATTGTCGAAGAAAATGACGATGAAGAAGGCGACGTTGCCACGCGTTTCATCGTCAAGTGACGGAACGTCGAAGCGTGACGACGAACCAGGAGGAAGAGTAGGAGGGGGGGGGCGTACAACGTTATTGCGGGTGCTCAGAGGGACCTGTAAAAGGAAAAGAAGGCAAAGGGGGGGAGGGTTCGGCTGTTAACCGTCGTTCAGAGCCGTAGTTATGAATGTACAAGCCCTTTTCTTCCTTTGGCACAGTAGTCCTCTCTTCCCTTTCTTTTTTTTAATCTTAAATAATAACAATTTTCTTCCAATTTGTTTATTATACCTTGGAATACTACTAGACATTTTGCTGTAAAGAAGAAACTTTGATCGTAACGTAATCATTGGTGATTCGTGCAAAATTTTCTCTTTGGGGAGAACGTGACGTCATTGTTTAATATTTATCACAGTATCGGCAAGGTTTTATAATCTACTTATGAATCAGACGTTTTATAAATATAACCGGGAGTTTATCGAATCGAATCTGATGAAATTTTGAACTCGCTTAGCAAAAAATTGAACGCGTGCAAGTCACGTTTTAATGCTAGAGGAAGAAAGAAAATAGTTTAGGTAGAGGTTAGAAAGAAAGAGAGATTAATACTTGACCATATAGATAAAGATGGCGTTAGGACTAATTTGTAATGACCCTGCTTTTCTGTCGGTAATGCGCATGCGCCTTAAGTATGCTGATACGACTCTAGAAATATCTTATCGGGTATATTATTGTGGCCCCCATACCGTGCATGCCAAACAAGTCACGACACATGCAAGAAGCTACGATTAACCCTTGCCCCTTTGTATATTTCTACGTGTAATATATTACACACGCACATATATACTAAATGTAATAATAATATTAAATATATATTTGAAAAAAAAATGATGAATCTCAATTGGAAAATAAATTTGTATTTTATTCTCAATGATAATTTGCTTTTATACTTACGGTATTTTGTTTTTTATGAAAATTATTAGAATTAGTATGACAAAAAAGAAGAAATTTGTTAAAAGATCTTCTTCTTATTCTTCTTCTTTTTTGAGGTTAGGAGTAGGTAAGAATAATTGTGCGGAGAACTTATTTTTTCCTTAAGTTGAGCCCTTCCTTCTCGTTCTCTTTTACACAAACCACAACCGATAGCCTTCTTTGAATAACGGCGTGTCTATCCTCTTTGAGAGATGATTGGTTAGAGATCAAGCCACAAGAGAGAGAGAGAGAGAGAGAGAGAGAGAGAGAGAGAGAGAGAGAGAAAGAGAGAGAGAAGAGAGAACGTTCTTCAAAATCTCTTTTCTCTTTGTTTCCTTTTCTTTTCCCTCGTGGGGGCTTCTTTCCACATCCGTGTCACGATTTGGAATCTCTACTTTGGCGTGACCGACGTGACACGCAGTAAGTTTTGTCCTTCAGTTGTGTGTTGGATTTTACAATGAACAACTTGTCTCCGTCGCGGATATCCTCTCTCTTGATGCATCACCACGGATAATCTCCGGCGGATGATCTTTTTTTTCTTTTCTTCTTTCTTCTTTCTTCTTCTACTTCTTCTTCTTCTTCTTCTTCTTCCTTCGAACATGACTCGCATCTAGCATCAGTCATTTTTTCTTTTTTCTTAATACTTCACGAGGTTACCTTCGTACGCATTTAATTCTTTCTTGCATACAGAAAGATAAAAGAAGATATTTATCTCCAACTTCTCAAGGTTTTCAAATGCGTATCGGCAAATTTGTTTTAGAGGTGATATAAACGGTATGAACGATGAATAAAAGACTTACCTTGTCTAAAGAAAAGATAGAAGAAGTACTTGGTATCATGATCACGTGACACTTAAGAAAAAAAAAAGACAATCACTTATGCATAAAGATCACGTTCATGAGAGTTATCTCAGCAAGCGCAAAATAATAATAATAATGATGATGATGTTGATGATTCTTTAGTCATCTGAGTAGAGATTAAGTTTGATTTGGTATGTTTCAGAAGTTCGGAGGATCATGGCTCGAGTGGCGGCAGTGGTTCCGGAAGTGGAGGCGGAGGAAACGTCGGCGTCGTCGGGGGTGGTGTTGGGGTCGTCGTCGGAAGTAGCGGGAGTATCGTCGGATCTGGTGGAGTCGGCGTCGTCGGTGGAGTCGGCGGAGTCGTCGGAGGCAGTGGTGGTAACACAGTTGGCATTAGCAGCGGCGTCAGCGGCAGCGGTGGCAGTGGCAGCGGGGGCGGCGTTGGCGTCGGCGTCGGCGGCAGCGTCGTTGTCGGTGGCGGTGGCAGCGAAAGTAGTTTCGTCGAGTCCAGGAGCTCACACGTTGGTTCTCACGGAGGTTCCCACGGGGGTTCCCACGGGGGTTCCCATGGGAGTTTCTACAGCGGAGGCGGGGGTGCCGGGAGTGGAGGCGGTGGCAGCAACGCTGGCAGCGGCGGCGGGGTCGGCGGAGCAGGAAGCGGAGTCGTCGTTGTTCAAGGCCACCCAGTCGATCCTAATAGCGGTGATCCTGGTGGCTACATACCACGTGGACGTCCACCACCTGGTAGCTCTTACCACGTGACGTCGAGCAGGGCGAGGGATCGGCTTTACCCGAGGACAGGCCCTTACGGCTCCGGGCCGCCACCCCCGCCCCATTTAGATCGTCATCGGCCACCGTCTTCCTGGTCTTCTGCCTATGAGTCAGCTGCTTCATCGAGATATGGTAATGCACCTCCACCACCTTCACCGGCTACCAACGATTCCTACCAAGATGATCAAGGTAGAATATTGACATGAGACTACATTGAGACATCGAGAATTAAGCTATTAATATATTTATATATTTTTTTTATTTATTTTATTAATAATTTATGAACAAAATAGGTGGCGGAGGCGTTAGTAGTAGCAGTGTTCACCGACAGCACAAGAAGCAACGTAGAAAATCTCGAAGCGGTAGCAGCTCGCCGAGCGGTAGTAGCCGTTCCGGAAGTAGCAGTAGTAGTCGAAGCGGCAGTTCCGCTGGTAGCACATCTGCTGCAAGCACGTCACCAGGAAGCTCACCGCATCGTACTGGAAATGCTGTCGCAGTCACCGAGGATCGCAGGCCATTGGCGATCTGCGTTCGGAACCTTCCTGCTCGCAGCAGCGACACTTCCCTCAAGGATGGCCTTTTCCATGAATATAAAAAGCATGGGAAGGTCACGTGGGTGAAGGTTGTCGGTGCAGCGGGCGACAGATACGCTCTGGTTTGTTTCAAGAAACCCGAGGACGTAGAAAAAGCTCTAGAGGTCTCCCACGACAAACTATTTTTCGGTTGTAAGATCGAAGTTGCGCCTTATCAAGGATACGACGTCGAGGACAACGAGTTCAGGCCATACGAAGCTGAATTAGACGAGTATCATCCCAAAGCAACTAGGACGTTATTTATTGGGAATCTCGAAAAAGATGTCACCGCATCTGAACTCAGGAAACACTTTGAGCATTTTGGCGAAATTATCGTAAGTCTAACATGATCATAAATTTAGTGTTGTATTTTTTTCTTCATTTACTTATTCACCAAATTCAGTATTCTAATATATGCTCCATTGTATTTTTGTTTTATCTGCCATTGCAGGAAATTGACATAAAAAAGCAAGGCGCTGTTTCGAGTTATGCATTCTGTCAGTATTCAGACATCGGTAGTGTCGTTAAGGCCATGAGATCTATGGATGGTGAACACCTAGGTGCGAATCGTATCAAACTTGGATTTGGCAAATCTATGCCAACCTCCTGCGTTTGGGTGGACGGAATAGGAGGTAAACCAACTTTTCACGTTTCTATGATCATCATTCGATCATGTCAATATTGATATAGGCATACACATTTGTAATAAATCATATTCTTCCGTTTTCTAGATTGCATGTCGGAAAAATACCTAAACATGCAGTTCTGTCAGTTCGGTCCTATTACGCAAATCGTTTTGGATCGTGAGCGTGGCCACGCGTTGGTTAACTTCGAACAAATAAGCTGTGCTCAGGCTGCCGTTAAGGAAATGAGAGGAGTCGCACTTCGTGGACGTCGTCTTCAAGTGGACTTCGCTTCCAGAGAATGTCAGGAAACGTTCTACGAACATCTGGAACGACAAGGAGTTTCTGGTGAAAAACCTTGGGACACCAGGCCGTCACCGGCAACAACCTTCGATGTTGCGTATGTATAATACAATTATATATATATTTTTTAATAATTTGCAATTTTCAAAATTTTGTAAAATCATTCAAAGTAAAATATATTTAACAGTAATAAAACGTATAACGTAAGTTATGATTTTGTTAATTTGTTAATGTTTGATAATATATTGATTATTATTATTATTATTATTATTAATAATGTGTAACAACTAATCGTATAAAAATATCTAGCTTTAAGTATCATCGTCACCCCCAAATAAAGAGCACAAAGTAGAATTCACGCGTTACTGAAAGGATTCATTACAGGAGGGAACGTAGCAGCTTTGAATCAGCAGTTACAGTATCAAATTCGGGCGGTCGATTTACGCGTTACGATACACCCCCAAGATCAAGGACAACTAGTAGTTACTCTCGTACTTCCGGTGGTGGTAGCACGCCAGGGGCCAGTCCAGCTCATCCAACGGCGATGTCTCGTAGCAGCAGACGGTCCTACCAAGATTCATACTACGACGGTGATTACAACGACCCGACGCCACGCAGATTCCGAAGTTACGACGAATTCAGCCAAGGAAGCGGAGCCAGCCACGACGATTATCAGAGCAGCGTTCTAAGCGACGGCAAACTCAACGACGACGATTGTCCACCACCCCCGTCGTCACGGAGGCATACTGTCCAGAGTGTTGTTACCAGCGTGGAACCACCAGTTCCACCACCACCCATCTTACCTCCGCCCGACATCAGGCATCTTCAAAAAGAGCGAGTTCATTTGTTGGAACAGCTCGAGGAGTGTCACAGCAGCGGCGACGAAGTTGGTTTTGCACCTAAGAAACGAGTCAAACTGGATGGAAGTTCAACAACTATACTATGCGAGGACGATGAACCTGAAATAGCATCCTTGATGGTAACTTCTCATTCCGGTAGAAAAGGCATGGACGTTAGACGCGTAAGTGACAGCAAAGTGGTGGTGCATCATAGTATGAGAAGAAGTAGCTGCGAGGGCAGGGGTCCAGGACCTTGTAAGCGACGTCGAGATACTTCTAGCAGGTGAGATTGAATAAGTTAGAGATAAAGACAAAAAGAGAAGTAGAGAAATAAAGAAAGAAAGAGATAGAAGAACGAAAAAAGAAATAAAAGTTCCGTATCGTCTAACTGTGTAGGCGGTAACATTATCTCTTTAACTTATCTTTTTCTTCCTTTGTAACACGTTTAGACATCACGAGCATCACGATGGATCACGACCAGGAACGCCTCTCGTCGATGAAAGACCGGAGAACCTTGTGCCGAGTGAACCAAGAAGATTTCGTGAAAGGAGTCACGAGGGTCCTCTTTCGTTACCTCTGCCAAGGTTCGCGACTCAGATGCTGAACAACAACAATACCAGTAACAGCAACAACAACAACAACAATAACAACAACAACAACAGCAGCAACAGCAACAGCAGTAGCAGCAACGCAAGATCTAGCAGCAGCAATTTAAAAGTCACTAGTCCACCCTGTGCCAGTAGTGGGCTCTCAGTTGTAGTAAGCCCTTGTACGGCACCTCAGCCACCAGCCTCGCCACCGCCTAGACATTTAAGCCTAAGTCCAACGAGTTCCGACAGTGAGACAGCGCCCCAGTCTCCTAGTCTCGAAGAGAGAATACGTTCCCTCGACGAGAAATACGAAAAGTGGTCGGGCTCGAGAGCTTTAAGTGCAGCCGGTGGCGATGCTTTGGCTAAACTTGACGCAAGCGCTTCGGAACGTTTTAGATTCCGGCATAAACTTTTAGACATGGATCTAAACGAAGTGCAACCATCGGATATAGTGAAATCGGTTCTCGCGAAAAGGAGTGTGTTCGACGAGGATTCGAAACGACTCGAGAATTTCAGTGAAAAATATGAACCTAAAGAATTTACGGGCGTCATTGGCGTCAGTTCGATGATCGGTAGCACGGCTGGGTTAACTTCTAGCGGGGGTTGTACCAGCAAAGTTTGCCTCCAATATCCATTTCCTAGTCATCCACCGGTGCAACTGACCAGTACCTCATCTGTTAGCAGTCACATCGGTGGTAGTAGTACGATGCTCTCGACGAGCATGGTTCCGTCAATGTTAAAAACGACTGATCCACGCTCGACGATGCAGCACAATTGTGTACACCCAACCCCAGCGACACCGATCACGCCGGGCACGTCGATCAAAACCGTCAGTCCGGAATTACCACCAGTTTCTTTACCTATCGGTCCTGCAACTAGCGGAACGGCAGCAAGCAGTGGTAATAATAGCGGTTTAGGGTCGGTCAGTAGCCTTCTTAGTGGTAATAGTAGTATATGTAGTATTCACAACCTCAGCGCCTCGACGAATCGAGGATTAATTTCTAGTAATACAGTTTTAAATAATTCGTCGTCGTCGTCATCATCGTCGTCGTCGTCGTCGTCGTCGTCAGTGACGATATCTTCGTCATCATCCTCTTCATCCTCCTCATCCTCTATCATTTCTTCTTCTGTACCTCTTCCTCTTCCTTCTTCTTCTTCTTCATCAGCTTGTTTAACTTCCTCATCATCAGCCTCGATATCAGCATCTTCTTCAGTTTCCTTCTCAGCAACGGCAGCGTCAACAGCAGTAGCAGCAGCATCATCAACAACAGCAGCAACAGTAGTAACATCATCATCCGGTGTTACTGCGGCAACGACGATGATTTTAACAACAGCAACATCGACAATATCGATACCAACCATTTCCTCGTCAGGCACAACACAACAACAACAACAACAGCAATCGAGCGGTCAATACCATCAATCTTCCTTGACAACAACCGCTTCCTCTTCGGTGCCATTGTCTTCCACGATATCGTCCACGTTCAGCAGTAGCAGCAGCAGCAGCACGTCTTCGTTATCCTCTTCCTCGGTCGACATAATTCGTGCTCGATTACGAAAAGAGATTGGCATAAGTAGTAGTAGTAGTAGTAATAATAGTGGTAGTAGTAGTACTGGTAATAGAGAAAGAAGAGACTCTCGAGAAGGTAGAGAATCGAAACACAGTAGTAAAAGTAAAGATTGTCAGAGTCGAAGATCGAGAAAGGAGGAAATTGATCGGAAGGAGAAGGAAGATAAGGAAACTCCTAGTAGCAACAGCAACAATTCTGACGTCAATGAAACCGATAATAATCACAGTAGAGATGTTAAAGAGACAAAGGAGACAAGGTACGAGAGGAGAGAACGAGAGGATAAGGAAAGAAGAGAGAAAGACGATCGGGAGAGACAGGAACGAAGAGATAAAGAAGATCGTGACAGACAGGAACGCAAGGAACGAGAGGAAAGAGAAAGAAGAGAAAAGGATGAGGAACGTAAGGAAAGAGAAAGATTAGACAAGGAACGTCAGGAAAAGGATAGGAGAGAACGGGAGGAACGAGAAAGGGAAAAGAAGGAAAGGGAGGAAAATGAATTTAGGGAAAAGGAGAGGAGGGAGAAGGAACGGTTGGAACGTGAGAAGAGGGAACGGGAAGAAAAGGAGAGGCAAGATCGTAGGGAACGCGAGGAAAGGGAGAGAAGGGATAGGGAGGAACGGGAAAGGAAGGAACGTGAATTGCGTTTGGAAAGGGAGAAACAAGAGAAGGAACGTTTGAGAAAGGAACGTGAGGAACAGGAAAGGCGAGATAAGGAAGAACGGGAGAGATTGGAACGGGATAGGAGAAGGGAGGAAAAGGAACGCATTGATAAGGAGAGGAAACGGGAGAGGGAGGAGAAGGAACGTTTGGAACGAGAGAGGCGGAAGGAGAAAGAGAAAGAGGAACGGGAAAGATCGGAAAAGGAAAAGCGTGAGAAGGAGGAAAGGGAAAGGTTAGAAAGGGAAAAACACGAACGTGAAAAGAGGAGAGAACGCGAAGATCAAGAAAAACGGGACAAGGAGAAGGTTGAGCGAGAAAAGAGGAGAGACAGGGAGGAAAAAGATAAGGAAAAACGTGAACGCGAAGAAAGTAGGCGTCAACCTACCGATAATCATCTTCATCAATCGGTTAATGTACAATCTCAAAATCAACAATCTTCGCCAGCTCCAGTACCGACAAAACGAAGGTTCTCGTCCCAAGATTGTTCCACCGAAGATGATAGCAGCAAACGTATGAAGATCTCGGATCATCGCAGAGATAGCAAAGACCGGCCTAGACAAAATAGAAAATCTGAGGATCGTAAACATCGTAATGACTCTCATCGTTCTAGTCGAGAAAGTAGGGAAAGTCGGGAGAGTAAGGATAGCAGTGGAACCGTTCAAGATTCTAGGGAAACTACTCACACAGATATAAGGGAATCTACAAGAGAAAATAGAGATAATAATAGAGAAAGTGTTAAAGAAAAACAAAGGAGTAAAAGAAGATCGGAAAAAGAATCGAGAGAACGTAGTCCTAGGGTTTGTCAGGAAGCTGATAAAGAATTCCTATCAAGATTAGAACTTTCTAAACGTAGCGAAACAAGTTCACCGAACGATCAAACTTCTACCGGTTCGCATCATACGAGAGAATCGTCACAATTCCATCAACAACAACAACAACAGCAGGCTTCGTTGAATCAACACAGCGACGTTGACGATGGTCCAGGACACGACATGCAAGTTGCAAGACATCCTTCTGCAACTGACACGGATAGCGACGAGCCTAAAAAACATTCGATATTTGATATCGTTGACGATGAACCTGCTTATATCAGTATGTACGATAAGGTTAAGGCACGTTCGACCAAAAACATGCAGAAAATGGAAGAGAAAAGGCAAGTGCGTTTGAAGGATAAATTTTCACAGTTAAAACAAAGTAGAGCTAGACGGGAAGAAAAGAAACAGAGTACATCTTGGGACGGTGATTCGGTTAGTAGCAAAGCTTTAACCGAAGACGAGGCAACATCTGAATCCGACTCGGCTAGAGCTAAATCTTTATCAAGAAAGGGATCACGTTCGCGGATTCATTCGGACACTAGCGAAGAAGAAGAATCATTTAACAACAAAGTTCGGAAGAACGTTAAGGCAGATAGATTTCTTGAAAGTGACGTTGATCTTGGATTTGCTGATACTGAAGAAAAACAAAATCCTTTGGAAACCAGTAATGTTGTTATTAACAGTGTACATACCAATACAAAAGAAGAAGTACGTACTTCTGATGACGATGAAAGAGTTTCTTATCAAACGAGTCATCCAACGATAGTCGTTAATAATCACGAAAGAGATTCGCGCAAGAAATCACATAAAAAGAAACAAAAACGTCAGAAAAATTCGGTATCTAGTGAAGAAAGTTCTAAATTGGAATCAACTGAAACTACGGATCACAAAAATAAGACTAATGTTGTTATATCGACTGATACGGAGTGTCGTGCGAATCATACAACCGAATCTGTAACGATCAGTAGTACACCAACGACAACACCGGTTGCAACTATTGACAATGCAGAGGAAAAATTACGTGCCGATAAAAAACAAAGAACGAAGAAAGATAAAAAAAGAGAAAGAAACGGAGAAGACAAGGTCAAAGCGAGAAGAAGGAGACTGAATAGACAAGAAGCTAGAGATTCGCAAAGGATGGAAGCTATTTTTGGTCCTCTTTCTGATGACGTTGACGATCCTCAACCTCCAGACACATTTTTTGATAGACTTAGCAATATGACATCTGAAAATAACGCTTACGTTTCTGACAGCGATGGTGAACGTAGTCCAGTTTTAGATGTCGAAAGAGTTAGAAGAAAAACAGAAAAAAAGAGACAGAGGCATCACCAGGAGGATGAAAATAGCGTTGACCTTGCTGAAGCTGGACGAGAAATCGAAGCTAAACTGTTAGGTCTACCAAACTCACCAAAATCTGCAGTCGCGTGTACGGAGTCCAATGAACACGATGTTTTCCGTTTCACCGATGACAATGACAGTGTTGAACCATCTACTCCCACTACAGTACCTGAAAAGGTTAAAGAAAAGAAAAAGAAACGTAAGAAATCGAAGGAAGAACGTAGTAGAAAAGATTATCATCACCATCATCATCACCATCACCATCATCACGAAAAAACTGGAGAGTTACCTTATCTTGGAGCTGATCCAAGTCCTCCAAGAGCAAGCAGTCCTCTCATTCCGAAAACGTATTCTCCAATTTTGCCAGCTCTCAAAGAAACTCTGTTAAGTCCTATACCCAAAGTGGTTACGTCAAATACATCGACTGTTTCAACTATCAGTGCTCCCGTTGTAACTGGTGTCATTCAACCACCAAAGCCTGAAAAGAAGAAAGACAAATTTATACCTGGTTTTGGAATAGAAATAGATGAAACTATTCATGAAAATGCGGTCAAAAGTATCTCGGAACCTGAAGAACGTGAAAGTGGTGGTAATCAATCTCGTAACGGCAGAGATGAAACAGAAACTTCGTCGACAACACCGCCTGCTCAGAATGAGGATAAACCAAGGGTTGCTATATCACAGGAAGAAACTGAGGATGCTGTTGCAGCTTTATTAGAAGAAACTTTCGGCGGCTCAACCGAAGATTTCTCCTATGAAGGTGAAGAGGAAGATAATGAAGTAGACGGTACAACCGGACCACAAACCGAAGCACCTCAAGAGGATGTAGAAGAAATGCAACAGGCGGTGGAAAGTTTGAATGCTTCGACAGTCGAAGGTGAAGATCTCAAACCTGATACACCTACAAGTGAACATGATCTTCAAATAGATACAGACACGGAGGAAGATCCGAATTACGAGAACTTTGATTTAACACAACCACCGAAAACACCAGATATTCCATCATTTTATAAATCACCAACTAAGACAACACCAACCACCGTCACGCTTGCTATCGTTGCAGCAGAGAAACCAACGGAAGCTCGTCTACCACACAATCCTGTCATTCCAAAATCACAAAACTCTCCAAATTCGGTTATAGCACATTCTTGGAACCTTAATGAACATAAAACAGCTCGTGATACAACAAAAAATGTACAAATGGATACTGTGGAGCCTAGTGTGACGATAGCCAGTCCAGAAAGAGTTTCCCAATCTCATCGAACTTCAACATCCTCACCACCAACGTACAAACAACCTATGTTGGGATCCTGTAATGTACCAATCGCTAATGAAACATCACGAATTTCAGCAGCTAGTCCAAGACCTTCGTCGATTAACGTACAACCACTGTATCAAAGGCTACCAGTTTCACCACAATCTCAAATGGTACCAATGCGTCAAGCTTCTCCAAGAATGCAAAACGTTTCCACTCCGTCTTCGTCATCACCATCGAGTATAACGCCTGTACCACCACTCGTTCCATCACTCGTTCCATCAAGAATACCACCTTTGATATCATCACAATTATCTCCAAGAATTCCACAACCACTGTCACCGAATGGACAATGGTCACGAAGTTCTACGATGAGTCCTCACGTGTCTACCGTTGGAAAACCTTCACCACCTCCAGCTAGAATCGCAGTGAGTGTTCCTATTTCTGCACATAGACCGGAAGTAACGGTACAACAGATCTATTCGACTGCTGCAACTCAACAACCAGTGATTCAACACGCGGCAGGTTTGAGACCACTCAATCCTAATTACCCTAGAGGTGGTTTGCCGCCATTGACATTAAATATTCCACCACGTCCTTATATGCCAGTACCACCATTGGCACCAGGTATACAAGTTAAAAGTTCGAGAGATTCAGCTGTTTTAGGCAACAAATCTGTTATTGAGACATTACTTTCTGTCAATCCAAACGAACTACCACAAAGATTAGAGGAGCCTAAATTATCGCCTGCTGTTATACCAGAATCTACGAATAAGGCCTCGACTTCTCCAAAAGTTCCTTCGCCTAATCAACCACCCACGTATATACCAGAAACGGCTAAAATTGAAATTAGTGCTAGTACGTCTACTCCAGCATTTGGAAAATCAAGTAGCATAACGGAAAGCAGTTCTTTACAGTCAAGATCTCAAAAACAAATATCTGCGTCTGTAACAGGAGATAACAGTGTACTTTCACCACGACCTAAACAAGAATTATCCAACGTACAATTGTTAACAACTCACGTACCACATTGTTCTACACCGAGTCCTGTAATTATAGCTCATGGACAATCCCATATAGTCCATAAATCTATGGTACATAGTCTAGGACCATCCACGGTCTCTTCTTCTAATCAATCGTTAATTAAAACTGTAGTACCAATAGTATCTCAACAATTAACAACAACAGTACAATCCACAACGGCCAGTGATAAGAGCAGCATTTCACAGACAACCACTGTTTCTTATTCTAATTCTCAAAAAATGTCACCTTGTCCACCAGTAACTTCAATTTCCAAATCTCATTTACCGGTTGGTCCTCCAGTTTCACAATCGATAATAACCAGAGTCGTACCAACGACTGTATCAACTGTATCGACTACTTCGATGTCCGATAATGTTCGAGAATGCATAGAACAACCACGTGTGGTACAACAAACAGAAAAATCAGCGACAGATTCTGAAGTACAAATAGGGCAAACTGCTCAACCTATGCAATTAACACCACCGATACAATCAAGCCAACCTATCGAAATTACTAAACAAGAGCCGCCAGTTGATATAATAAAACAAGAGGATGCAACGTTGAAGGAAGAAATGAAATTTAATATACCAAAAACAGAAACACCTTTGGAACAATCGTGTGATATTGATATTAAACCTAAAGAAGAAAAACATGAATTTGTCGAATCAGAAAAATTAGTATCCATTCCTAAGACAGAAGTATTGAATATTCTCATACCAAAACTTGAAACAGAAACAACTATAAAATCAGAGATTGTAAACGAAGTGAAAGAGGAAGAATATGAAGAAGAGGAAGAGGAGGAAACTGTGACCAAGGAAAATGAAGAGGTTGAATTGGATGAAGAACCAGTAGAAGATCCATTGAAAGAACCAAGTACAGATCCGCTAGCTATTGATGTGTCGAAAGAAGATCCAACTGATAGTAAAGAAGATAGCGATTATTGGTCAGCCAAGGAAGTAAATATAGAAAGTGTTATAAAGAAAGTAGATGCCTTGTGTGATGGCGAAGGTAACGATAATGAAGGTAACGATGCTGAAGATAATCAAGAAAATAATCAAGAAACTCACAATAATTCTGTGGAAACTGTTAAAAGTGAATCCGATTGGTTCCAAGCTGAAACAACCGAGGAAGAAAGTAAAAAGAACACGACAACAGCTAATGAAGAACAAGATGAAGGTGTTGAAACTTGTGAGGCAGAATTAACGAGTCGTCGTCGTGGTAGATCAAAAGCTAGACGAGGTGGTAGCAGTCGTGGTGGTGTTAGACGTGGTAGAACAACTACTGCAACTGCACACAAAAGAGGTGGAAGAGCACCAAGAGGTAACAAACATCACGTTGCACATAAATTACCCTATGCCGACGTTTACGAATTTCATGACGACAGCGAAGAGGAACATCCTGGTCGTCCTCGTTTAATTCTTACCATTAAATCTGGTCCTAACACAGAATTACCAATGGAAGACGTGGTTTCACCGGCTACCAATACGAGAAAATCTAGAAGGTTAGCTGAAAAAGATGGTAGTAGGAACACGATTGACGACGTTATCGAAGATGTTGTTCGTGGACCGTCAAATAAAAATTTTTCGAGTGGAAATATACAAAACATGCATACCACGAGAAGAAGTACAAGGCACAATAATGCACCGCGTAATGTACAAACAACACAGCCTAAAGTGCAAGTTACGGAATCTCGTAAATCACCAAGAGGTAGTCGCAAAGCAACGAGAAGGACTTCAGAAAATAATGAGGATAGCGGAGAAGAGAAATTTATTAAATTGGTTGTTACCCCGCCAAAGAAAGTTGAGAATAAATATGAAAGTCCTGTTGCTGAAGAATCCAATCTTAAAGTGGAAGAAAGTAATCCAACTTCGACGCCACCTGAACAGAAATCTGTATCTCTTGAACCAACGACATTGATTGATCCAGTTACAGGAATGTTAATAGCAATGAGGGAATCGGAGGAAGGTCAATATATACCAGTCAGTACGTCAGCTACTCAACAACAAACTACTACCAAAACAATTAGTGAAGGCCGAAGTACTACTGCAACAGTCAAAGAAAGTTCGATCAATGAATCATTGCAATCAAAACCATCGTTCGATAATAACAAAACAGAAATTCATGAAGAGCCGAAAAAAGAACAACCTATGGAAACTGTATCTTGTCCACCAATACAAAATCAAGTAATATCTTCGCAAGCTAGTGTTATTACCAAACCACAATCTCCAATGGTTCAAACTTCTTCTACCATTACAGTCGTGCCGTCATCTACGACATGTACGACTGTGACAACGATGTCAACGATACCTAGCGTGACTCCATCGCAACCAATATCAACTACTGTTACACAGAATAAACCTACGAGTTTGAAAGCTCATGTATTGAATGCTAGTAAATTATCAACTCAGTCTCAAGCTCAATCACAACCACAACCACAACTACAGCCACAAGTTCAAGCACCGGTTCTGACTCCTACTTCGGCTCCGGCTCCGGTTCCGACTCCAGCTCCGATTATAGTTCAAACTCACCCTCAGGCTCAATCGCAGTTGCAGCT